CTGGTTCACGACTGTAAAATATCCACACCCCTCACAAAAAAAAAAAAAAGATCTAGAAAGATGCCTAGGCTTACTGACGAGTCCGTGTAGGGTCTTCCCACCGCCCTCCAACTTCCGGCCGACGTCCCTCCGGCGGCAGTCCCGGCCCCGAGCACCGTTCTAGCCTTGCTTCGCTTCTCCTGAACCTGAACACCACTGCTGTGTCTAGCATCAGCGCCACCATCAACGGCACTGCTAGTCTGGTGAATAACGGATCGGACGAAGAAAAGTTCTATCGCGAGGCACATCTCGAGAACAACACCTTTGACGAGGGTCAGAGCTTCAATCCCAGCGTGCAGGCAGAGGATGGTGGCAGAGGGTGCTTCATAGCCGGGGAGGAGGTGCGTGTTATCGTGGTAAAGATCAAGGATATCAGAATCAGTGATTGGAAGGGCGCGGTGCGGGATTACGTTCTGGCGGAGGAAACAGCTGTTCCTCAGCTTAACGGCGTACGGTAGGGTAAATTTTCAAGACACGACTGCAATGCCGTTCGTGTACTGTCCGTGACAGCAATGAACAGGCCGGCGTGTGCGACTTTTCTCGACGGTACATTTTGGCACACGAGACTGGAAGGGGTGCTTCGTGTAGGCATCGGAACCATGTTGAAGATGTCCTAACTTGCTACGGCATCACGTTCCATGGACGCTGAAGGCTTTTTACTCAGCTGACGCGTAAGATCTCCTGCAATCTGAAGGTGTCAGGGACAGAAGGGCCGAAAAAACAATGTATGGGTCGGGACCCTATGCCCGAGAAGTGATTAACCTTTGGGGCCACAATTAGGGGTGTTAGGATATGGGCGTTAGCTTCTTCAACGGGCGAGTTGCATTCTCACAGCCAACGTGCGGCGTTGATAGCAAGGAGAGTGACTGTCGCGACAGGTACTACTGAGTATAAAGTGAAACGGACTAGGGATCAAGGCCCCTCGAGCTGTTCTGCAGTGGGATTTGACGTTTGGTAAGTTGTGTTTTGAACTTAGACTGTCCAATTCGTTCTTCATTAGGCACAGGGTGCCTGGTCAAGGAGCACGGAGGATTGGAACCCGGCCGATTGCGACAGAAGGTGTTGGAGGGTGGCATCCCACCAAGTCAAACTGCTTGTTGAGGTTGGGGTACCGAGATGGTCTTTATGACAGAGTCAGTAGTTGACGGAGGGGTTGTTGATGATAGCTTCACAGAACTTGAGCTTATGAGACTTGGTTACTTTTATTGCATGTTCTTATGGTCCAGGGGTCTGTCCATGCAAAAATAGTGAAATTGCTTTGACATCGCCTTATTGCATTGGTTTTTTGGCTGTTACAAACGACCTATTTGGTTTTAGTTGTCGGTTTCAAATGGTGGATTAACCCTGTAGGGAACTCACACTTTGCCGTATAACTCGTTTTTCATGTCACGCGTCTCTTTATGGACTCTCTGTAAGAGATCTCGGATACTCTTCTCATCCCAGCCGCCTTTGGCAAACACAGCCAGCGAGTAGTTCTCCAGGCCTGTCGACAGTTAGGAGGCAAAGCCCAAACACGGAGCAATGTGAATATAGAGATAACCCTACCGTATTCCAGCATATGAGCGAACTGGGCCCCTTTCCTAACCATCTTCTCGTCATGGCCTACGGCTTGTATGGGCACCAGGTCCGACCAACGTCCCACCTTTTCGAAACCGACATCTGTCAGAATGGCGGGGATCTTTGGGATAGGATCAAAGTCGACTCCTGCGATGGCCGCCATCTCTGCTAACTGCACCTCGAACTCGAGACACGCCGTCATCGAGCCGTGGTCTTTCTCTTTCCCCATCGGCGCGGTGGGCTCATCGCTGCTGTTGCCAACAAGGTCAAAGAACCTCGTTCTCACCTCGGAGAACTCGATCTGCCCTCCGGGCTTCAGGTGCTCGTAGGTCTGCAGGAACAGTGCCCTCCAGTCCGGCACGCCACCGCCGACGAGATTCCGCACGTGTACGAAATCGAGACTGTCCCTCTCCCGGGCCCAGTCGTTTGTAACGTCTTCCACTTCGAAGACGACATTGGGTGGGACCGTCGTGGGCAGCAGTGCGGCGGAGATGTCGATGCCCATGATGTTGGCCAAGGGGTACTGCTCGCCCATTTCAATGGCCCAATTGCCCGTACCCGTGCCAATGTCGAGGATGCTCAGGGGCTGGTCCTTGGGAAGCTTTGTCGCAGTCAGGCTGCCTTCGAGGCATAGCTTGAATAGCTGGTGTTGAATTTCCAAGCGTGCACGCTCAGATTCGTCGTTGGGCATGAGTAGGCGACCAGATCCGTGGTACGTGTGACCGTAGGCGCGGATGGGAGGTAGCTCATCGACCGAGACAGAGCTGAAGTCCGAGCCAGCGTCCGAGGTGTCGCAGCCATCGTCATGGTCCACCGCTTTAGCCTCGGTTGCTCGAGAGTGTCTCCTCCGGTCCTTGTGGTCTCCCCGGTCCCTCATTACACCGGTCCTATCGGCCCTCCGTCGACCACTATCGCCGACGCCCGGGTCTCCGGTCGCGGCACCAACGTCTTCGCCCATGGAGAAATACTCTTCGATATTTCTAGATTGAGGATGACGCGATATCCTCTCTCCCTATGAATTAGTTGGTGGTTTCCCTTTGATGGATCCGTCTTAGTTGTGTCTCGGTACCGCTTCACCCCCTTTTCGTATCTTGACCTCTTTCAATGCTACTACATACGGAGCAGTGTGCTCCACGAGGGCCGTCCCTGCACTGCTTGGCTCTCCAGTGGAGGGCGAGTCTTGGGCTTGCCACGCGCGATGCTGCTTGATGGGGGGGAAAAAACAACAACAACCGAAAACCACTTAAAGAAGCAACAGGAAGAAAACACAACTATTAGATACCACAACCTCTATATGCAAAGGGGGGCGGGGGGTTGCGTACGAATAACGTCGAAGACTTGGAAAATGGTTGGCGAAGCGTTATGTACCCCAGCCCTTCGAGAAATCGACGATGGACCGAATGAGAGCCACCAAAAAAACTATGACAAGGAGAGCCCGTTGGCTTCTTCGGCGTGGACAAAGGACGTTGGCAGGCCAAAAGGGGCCAGGCATACGCAATGCAACAAGACCGGACGGGAAAGGTTAATTTGACTTGAACCGGGGAGGGGGGGGCTGAAGAGGAAATTTGATTTTTCCGCGGGAGCTGGGGACTTGCACTTGGAATTTTGGGACTAGGGACTGTATCTGGATGGAACCTCTATGTCTTGTGCCTTTTTGTTGCTGGCTCTGCCGAGAGAATCTGCCACTCCAGGTCAGAGCATTTGCCTGCAGGTAATAGAAAGAGGAGCATGGGGGGGGGGGCGGGGTGCAGTCGACGGTCGACGGTGCCGGCCGTGAATGGGCCTTTGAGAACGTGGCTCATGCCGGCCGGGCCCATTTGAAAACATGAAGAACTCGAGAAGGAAATAACGAAATCGAGGCCCCTCTCTGTCCGCCCCCCACCCCAGAAAAGATCTGCTCGTGTAGGGAAGGTCTGGGGCTTGTTGGGCAGGATGGGAGAAACAAACAGGGTTAGCCATGTTGGCGAGGTAGTCGACCACAGAGCAAGGCAATGATATTCAGGGCAAGCAACGGTTCCATAATAGGACACGCAAAGAAGAACTGTTGCCATTTGGAATCAAGCGGGGGGCTGGCCAAATCGACTTGAATAAATAAATATCATCTCAGAAATTGTCTTTCCTCACTCTGTCTTCTCCCTTCCCTTTCTCTCCCGCACTCAAATGACACATGTGTGCCATGTTCCTTTCTTTTGTTGTCAGCCAAGGATTTGAGTGCTGCCTTGCTCCAACCGCCCAGGGCCAACCGGAGGCTAGCTCAACCTGGTATACACTTCACCGCGTCATTCTCTTTCCCCCTGGTCACATTGATTTATCACCTCAACATATGTCTCAGCGGTCGGAATACCGGCAGTGCCCTGACGTTTGAGTGTTAATCTCTTTCGGCGCGGGATGTAACTTTTGGTCAGCAGCACGCACACGTTCCCCTGCAGAACAATTTTCTTGGCATGAAGGGATGGTCTGAGGGGAAGATTTCCATGTAGCCCTCTCTTGGGACTTTCAAGTACCAGCCATGCCTTTATGTGTGTGTATAGAGTGCCTCACTCTGCATACGAGACTATTTCCCTCTGTGACTTGTGTAGGAATGCTGGCCCAGCATCGTAGACAAACCACGAGGAGTGTACTGCGGTGACTGCGTTCTTTGAAGAAGAAGAAGAATAAGGTGGTATGCATCGACCGCCACAAAGGCATCTATCGGTGGCTGCTCCCGCGCTCCCTGATGGACAACCGACAGACCACGGCAGGGCATGGGCAACTTGCTTACCTCGGAGCCCCAACACGCCCAGGGTGCCACGCTATGTTTGCTTGTCAAATGGAGCTCGTGGCGTCGCACTTGTATCCAACCCTGGTCCCGCAGCGAACTGACGCCCGCCGGTTCTTGCTTCCGAAGAACCAGCCCGGCACATGAAATGAAAACTGACGAGATGAAATATTCGCTCAGACTGTCTGTGGCCCAAAGGCCTCCGCCACGTTGTTCGAAAAAAGGCTTACTGACTCGTTCACAAATCTAGGATAAGAGGATCTCGTCGAGCGATCGTGACGGATTCCGAGCTCAGCTTCCATCATCCCTGGGTCGTCTGCCTTCCCCTTCTTGCAGCGCCTTGAAAGGTACATGTAGCCAGCGAGACCAACGCAAATGAGGCTCTCTTGGCTCATGTCTCCAGTTGTTACTGGCATTCTTCACCGACATACTTGCAAGCCTTATTCTTGGCTATGGTGGGTCAATCGAAGGAACATGGTCAATCACAGAAGCCAATAAGGTCACTGCGTCCATCCCGGCGTTGTACAAGCAAGAAGCGCATCTTCGTCACAAGCTCCCGGCGCTCGACGCTAGGATTGGATCAACAGATTCGTTCACGCGCATAGGGCCTGCAACTGCTTCCTCCCGATCACAAGAGGCGCATCTAATACGACCAAGCAAGCTTGTCGCCAGCATTGTCGCATGCCGCCCGTCAAAAACCTTGCTACGTTTGCTCCTGCACCGGGCAGAAGCAAATGACACGACGGTGTTACATATATCGACACTTTGGTATTTGGAGAGGGTATCTAAATGAATAGTATAACTCGGGACAAGGTTAGGTGGCACATGCGTATAGCCGAAATATGGTAAGGTTCTTGACTCGAGTTACCGGTCGTTTTCGTGGCGGGGTTGTTTCCGGGCTGCATTACGCAGGCGGCCCGACACCGTCTTCCCCGGAGGAGCCCGACATGCGATGAGAATACTCAGGATCCAGGCAACGATAGAAGGGATGAGTCGCGCAGACCCCCGGCCTTCAGACCGTCTCAATGTATCGCTTGACCTCCCTACGCAGGATGTGTTAGCAATTTTGTTTTACACTCAGGCAAGGGGCTTAATGTTGATACGCACCAATCCGTTACAGCTTCATCCCAAAGCCGGATCTCATGATCTCTTGTTCCGCTGAAATGATCGACAAAATCATCTCCAAAGACTTCTCTAGCGACACTCTCTTTCCGCTTGAACCGATCGTTTGCTTCACGCAAACTCTTTGCGAGCCTGATACCCTTATCACTGCTACCGCCGACATCTTGGCCCTTGCCCAAAGGCGGAACAGGAATTTCCAGCTTCTTCTCAACGCCTCGCCAGCCAAGAGCAAGGATTGCTGCCAGTACAAAAGACGGGTTTGTGTCAGCGCCGGGAACGCGGACCTCGAAACGGGTTGCGCCTGGTTTCGATGTAGGAGGAGCAATGAGGCGAATCGATGCGGCCCTATGCTCCAAGCCCCACGAGACCGTCACGGGTGCCCAGAAGTTCTCAACCAGACGTTTGTATGAGTTCACCGTAGGAGCCAATAGAGGCATAACATCAGGGAGACCCTCGAGAAGGCCAGCCAAGAAATGGCGGCCCATGTCTGAAAGTCCAGCAACATCCGGATAGGGAGGATTCTCGTCCTTCGTCTCCCGCGCAAAGAGGTTCTTGCCCTCCTTGTCGACGATGGAAACGTGCATATGACCGCTATTTCCAGGCAATCCTTGCTTTGGTTTGGCCATGAAGCAAGGGGTGATACCATATTTTGTCGCGACCGACTTGACAACGTACCTGCAAACGGCAAAGGTTAGCTCGGCAAAGGCGACCGTGATTCGGCCAACTTACTTGAACAAGCTAGCCCTGTCGGCCATTTGTTGAATCTCTCCAAACTCGAGGGCCGCCTCGAAGACACCTGGGCCGCTCTCGGTGTGCCAGCCCTCGATGTCACACTTGAACTGGGAGCATGTCTCAAAGATGTCATAAAAGTAGTCGTTGTTATGAACGGTCCTCGTTAAGCTGTAGCCAAACATACCCTCGGTAAGGGATGGCAAAGCTTGTGGGGGGTTCTCTTGCAAATATCCGGCCGTGGAGCTCGTGGCTTCGGCAGAGCGAGCAGGTGCCTTGAACTGATAGAACTCGTACTCGGCTGGAAATAGGGAGCGCCATTAGCTTCGTTCATTGCGGGGGCATTCGCATGATGTCTTGGTAAGCTCACCTCCGGCCATGGCACCGTAGCCCTTCGTCTGTAACTTTTCCAAGGCTGTTTTCAACAAGCCGCGAGGGCACGCGCAGATGGGCTTCTGGGTATCCGGGTCATAGAAGCTGACCAAGAAGAAGGGCACGTTGTTCTCCCACGGAATGCGACGAAAGCTAGAGAGGTCGGGAATGGCTATCAGGTCATGATAGCCGTTGTCGGCGTTGCTGATTTTGAGTTCCTTGATGTATGTCAAGTCGTGCATGTCCCATCCGAAGATTACGGAACAGAAGCCGAAACCAGACTTGGCGACTGACAGGAATTTGCTCTTGGACACGAGCTTGCCGCGCAACATGCCGTCGACGTCGATGCCGGCCAACTTTACCTTGGTATCATCCTTGAGAAGCTCCGGGAGCGACTCGATGGTAACAATCTCGTTGGACGGGGCCATGGCGGGAAACGGGGGTTGTCAATTGACTTTGGGCAGCGGCGGTTTGGATGAAAGCTCGTGGTTTGAGGTGTGGTCGCAAAGCGTAGCGTGCAACGGGAAAGCACGAGATCGATCTCTGGTTTTCTTTTCTTCTTCTTTTCTCTCTACTCCTGCAGTTCGAGGATGTTGAAAAAGAATGGAAAAGAAGAAGATAAGGGTTTGTTCAGTAAGGACAAGAAGTTGGCGGGGTGTGTGAGGGAGAGAGGAAGAGAGAGAGCGCGCGCGCGCGTGTGAGAGCAAAGCGATACGAGACAAGAAGCCGAACCAGAATAGATCGTGGGGCTCGGACGATGCACGGCGGGGGAACGCTGGAACTCAGAGGGAAGGAATGCAGAGAGCGACGGACATTAGGTTCCTACCTAGGTAGTGTACAACAGTACCCCCGTATGGCAGCCCACCCCGGAATTTGTCCAGCCCGGCTCAGTTCCTTATCACTTACTGTGTACGTAGGTAGGTGAGCCTACCTACCGGTAGTATTGCCGTCCTGAGGCGAAGTGGTTCTACCGTAGACACTCGCGTGATTGGGACAAAGCTAAGGAGCCCGCTAACGGCAAGGAGTATCGCGGGCCGCTGTAAGGAGTATAGTGTGCTGGCAAAAACAGGGATCTGTACATATCTATTTTCTTACGTAATGGTTGTATTACTACTAACGGCGGGCTGGCTACCGTATCCTCTCAGCAGATTCGTACAGCGCACAGACCACTCACCAGGTCGATTTCGGAAGGCGGTCAGTCAGCCTAGCCACCCACCCACCCATCTAACCCTAACCCTTGCCACCAAACTTGCTGCTGACGTTGACTAACCCCTGCATTTGCCACTTCTAGATCCCTGTTTCTGCCAGCCCGCTAGCCCCTATCCAGCAGCCCCTGGTCAGTGCGGTGTACGAATCTACTGAGAGGATACGGTAGTGGGAAACAGAGGGAAAGGATGACCGCCTTCTATGTTAGGACTAGTGTCGCCGATATCTACTAGCTGTTATAGGATATTTGCTAGCTATATTTGGCTAGCGGGCTTCCTAGCTTTGTCCCAATCTCGCGAGTGTCTACGGTAGCTTGATTTCAAGGAAACCCCCCGTGCGTGCAGCAAGCTGGATGCGGGAGCGCCGATAAGGGAGCGCGCGGCCAATGGAATGGTGCGATTTGAGAATTTGGGAGATCTGGAGTGACGCGCTGGATGACATATAGCCGGAAGCGAGTTTGCTGGGGAATGAACGCATGACTTAGCTCAGTACCTAGGTACCTTGAAGCGAACAAGATAGGTACCTAGGTAGGTAGGGCGTGTACACCATATTCGTATGTCTTTCTTGACCTTTCTTGCATTCGTAGCCCCTCCCCTCCGATTTTGGAACTGACAACTCTCGCATGTTGGTCACTGGCCATTGGCTGTATCTGTATCGGTGGGAAAGCTGTACTGGCTGCTGCCCATGCACGTATTGGTTCATCCTTTCTCTTGGGGGGTAGAGCGGGTCATCACGACCTCTGCCACGGCAGTCGCCCATAGTTCCGACAGGGTTGGTGGTGCTTTTCTAAGGCATTCTGAGCCTCGGTAGGTAGGTCAGGTAGGTACGGGTACGTATACTAGTCTCACGGATGGGATGCTGCGTCGTCACCCGTTGAATTGCAGAGGCTACCTAGCACCCTACCTTGGTAGCGTAGCATCATCGTGTGACCTCCCCAGCCTTTGGATACCTAATGAGGAAGTAGTGTACTGTCAGAATGTCTTGTCCATGTTGCCTCTTTGCCACATTTGTCGTCTCCATCTGTCTCCTTCACTCTCTCTTCCTTTTCGACGTCCCTCGTCGATGTCCATCACAATACGCCACGGCTGCAGCGCCGACTGCGACTCTCGAAATGCTCCCGTACTCGTACTTCGCCGCCGCCATATTCAGATCCTCCACGACGATTTAGCCGCCGGCGGGGGGTGTAATATCATCCTGAATCCTACGAGGTTCATGATGGGAATTGCCCTCTTTACCCCTTGTCGTGTGCAATATGTTTGCTGATGGTACCTCCAGCTCGTCTGCCATGTCGCACCAAGCGCGGCACATATCTTGCACTGTCAAGCCTGACCGCGACAACCTTACTCGAGTGCATGCTCATCTTCATCTCCATTTTAGTCTTTCTTGCCGCGCTTTTGCATTCGCTTGCAACCCTCTTTGCCGCTGGTGTCTCCTCAACTGGCGTTGACATTGCAGCCGCCCCTCATCGACTCGGGGACCCTTCGGCGCGGTCCCGGACCGCGGTGTGCATGAATGCGTGTTACAATCCACGAATGACAAGTTTGCGAATCGTAATGGGTTGTCCGGTCCGTCCGGACTCGAACACCACATGCTCGTTTCCCATTCACCGTCGCCTGCCCATGACGATGGGAACCAAGCGGGGGCGGAGGGGCTCGAGCAGACCGCCTCGGGCTATAGTGCCCAAACTTTTGTACGGCTCTTCTTCATTCCACTGCAATTCGGCTGGTCACTTTGGCACTTTCGGCACTGTCACATACGGTCTTTGGTTAACCCTGCTTGCTTTCCATTGTTTTATCCAGGCGTGCGAGGTTAGGTACCTGATAGGATTCTTACTGGCGACTTTTGTCTGCTCAATTGAGCAAATCTGAGCCTGTCGCTTTCTGCCTTTGCCGTACTGCATGCACTTCCTAGCCCGAAGCCTTTGCCGCTTGCAATTCGCTGTCATTGGCCTGGCACCGCTCTATCAATTACCCCGTTATCCTGGCAGCTCTTTGCGCAAACCCATGCACAAAGGGTCTTACCGACTGGCCACATTCAACGTCCATTGAGGTTGGTTTCTTTATTTTTGGATGTGATAAGCTGTTGCCGGTCATGCGCCCATGGGTGCTCGGCTCAGCGCATCTGGCATCCCTCCATCTCATAGTGGTGCCTCGCCCCCCCTTAGCAGATGTATTACGGAGGGGTTGGCTCCTGATCTTGGGCCTCCATCATGTCACAGCCAGACCCCGCTGATAAGAGATAACGCGACATCGGACGTGCGCCCGTCGACGCGTTTAAGTGCTGTCTTGGGAATCACCCCCTACCTTATCGAGTACACGCAAGTGATGTAGCTACAGCGGTTCTGGACCGCCCAGTATAGTTAAGCCGCCGGAAGGAGACCCCACGACGATCAGTTATCGATCCCGATCTCAAGGGACGTTCTGGAGTCTTGTCATGTATACGGAGGCAGCAAGGCCGGAGAGCTTGCTTGCCTACCCCACACGGCTCTGGCTGCCTGCACCTCGTCCACCCCTTGTCGCATATCTGAGCGAGATGGTGTTCCTGATACGCCGTTGTCGGATCTACCTTCCCAGTACAAGGCTCGAGCAGCTGGCTAATCGTGAGCTAGGAAGGGGGCTGGATAGCCATCCCGACCTGATGTGTCCGTACCGCGCTTGCGCGCTTTGTATCCAGTGCCTACTCCGTGTATGCAACTGCCTCTTCCCATGAGTAGCCCATCCAGTTGGTCCTAGTCCTTGGGAGGTGGTCGCCAGGGCGGCAAGACGAGGCCTGAACCCCAGATTTCCTTGACTCATCTCCTACCTGACGACTTTCTTCTGTCTCTCTTCGGCTCCATTCTACTAAACCAGCCCCATTGAGCCATTGCCTTTCTGATTCTTTAAACCCGTCGTCTCCGTCGTGCCGTCGTGTCTTCCTTCTCCCCTCCTTCCTTCTCCCACCAACAACTCGACTAGACAAACTTGACGCTTCCCCGACTACCCCCGCGACCCCCAAATTCGTCCGTTCGCCACATCGCGATTCACCACAAACAAAGAATTGCGATTGAACATCATAACTCGTGCAACACCCCCCAAATCTACAATTCAATGGGTTCTGTTCCTACCGAGATGGGCGGCAGACTGGCTGGCAAGAACGCCGTTATTACCGGCGCTGCTGGGTAAGCAAATATCTCCCCCCATGGCCACCGAATCGCCTTATCTCAACGCCGCATCGGGATGCGTCCCCAGTGGCAGAGCGCTCACCGGAAGACGACTTTCACAGGATGCGATAAGCTAACGTGCGATTTCTCTCTCAGTGGCATCGGGCTAGAAACCAGCATTCTCTTCGCCAAGGAGGGCGCCAGTGTCGTTATGGCCGATATCTCTGGTCCCGCGCTCGAGAAGGCCAAGGCCAAGGTGCTCTCGCTCATTCCGTCGGCGAGGGTTGAGACTAAGGTACGTCCACACTGCGAATGAGAAGCGTTGGAAGATTCCATTCCCGCCGCTCCGAAACCGCACTGTATCAACCGACCGACCGCACACATGCACACACCCAACTGCACAACTACCCCGCTATGCCCCGCCAAGTCCCATCATTTGCGGGCCCTTGACGCGTTGCTTGAAAACAGTTGTTCCTCGGGCTGACAGCATACAACAGATCACCGATGTTTCCAAGGAGGACCAGGTCAAAGCCCTCGTTGATTCGGTCGATTCCTGGGGTGGACTTGATATCATATTCAACAATGCTGGCATCATGCACGCTCGCGACGACGATGCTATCAACACACCCGAGGAGATTTGGGATCTGACCCAGAACATCAATGTCAAGGGTGTCTGGTTCGGCAGCAAACACGCCGTTCTCGCCCTGCGCCGCAATAAGAAGAAGAAGGGCTCCATCATCAACACGGCTTCTGTTGTCGCTCTCGTTGGCGCTGCTACCCCTCAGCTTGCCTACACGGCGTCCAAGGGCGCCGTCCTCGCCCTTACCCGTGAGCTCGCGATGGTGCACGCCCGCGAGGGTTATCGCTTCAACTCTCTCTGCCCCGCGCCCCTCAACACGCCGTTGTTGCAGGACTGGCTTGGTGATGACATCCCTAAGCGTTTGCGCCGCGAGATTCATTTTCCTACTGGTCGTTTCGGCGAGGCCATTGAACAGGCCCAGGCTGTCCTCTTCCTAGCAAGTGACGAATCGAGCTTCGTCAATGGTCACGACATGGTAGTCGACGGCGGTATGACCAAGGCCTACGTAACTCCCGAAGGTCCTGCGACGCCCGCACCCATTAACAACGCCAGTCGCACCAGCCTTGAGTAAGAGGCCGACGCGGCTTATCTGATTTCGGGTTCCTCGAAATTGTGAGATAATGGATTTGGAGTTTATGGCGCTGGGTAAGAGATTAGGCAATCGTCGATGGTCATGATGAAAGTGTGAATAGACTAAATTATTCAAAATGATGTTCTGCGGTTGCCTGCAAGACCACAGAGTAGTGGTTTTCCCTTTTCGTGAAGTCGTAGGCATCCGATTGGCATCTACATAGGAGAGGCGCAAGAAACGAAAAGGTAAAAGAGGGCTCGGAAGAGAAAGGGTAAAGCTCCTCCTAGAAAAAAAAAATAGAAAAGAAAAACCACAAACAACCGCGGAAACCCCACAACGCCGCCCAATGTACGTACTACTGTCAACGCCATTTCAATGGAACTGGCTCTCAGTGTTTCCCTCACCCATGCTCCTACTGCTTGAGCTACCGCTCTGGATCGTTCCCAAGATGCCGTCAATGTAACTTGCACCGCTCCATTTCTGGTGCGTCAAGACATCGCAGCCGCTCTCCTTCTCGCGTCTCTGCACAATGTTGACGTATGCCAGCATGCCGTCCTTCTTGAATTCCCGCGCGAGCTCGTGCGTGATGGTTGCATTCGAGTGGAGACCGGCCAAGGAGACGAGCTGCAGCACGAAGCCTTCTTTGGCAATGTCCCAGATGAAGCTCTTGAGGGTCTCGTCGGTAAAGCCGTGTGCCATCCAGTTGAAGGAAGGGCTGAGGTTGTAGACCAAACCTTTGCCTGGATATACCTCACGCACAGATCTGGCGAGCTTCGACGCGACCTCGACGTTAGGATCGCCCGTCTCTACCCAGAGGAGGTCCGCATACGGCCCAAAAGCAATGGCGCGCTTCGTTGCGGCGTCCATGCCGGCGCGGTAGTGGTAGAAACCCTCGCGAGTGCGGGGGACATCCCACGAGAAGTAGACCGGGATCGATGTGTGCTCGTTAGCGAGCTTGCGACGCTGGGCGATGCCGATGTCGCGGTTTGAGTGCACGGCTTCGAGGTACGCATCAACGTTTTCTTGGGGCACGCCCTCCTTGTGCATGTGTGCTACGGCGGCCTCGTCGAAGGTGACTAATTTCGTGTTCCTGACCCAATTTGCCTCGAAGGCGTCGATCTCGGAACCCGGGGCGCCCTTGGCCTCCATGGCCTGGATGGTCTCAGCAAGGGGTTCAAGGCTCGGGTCCGTGACGCCGAGTATGAACTCGTGGTCGCGCACATCTATGGCGCTACTGATGAGTTTTCCGCTCTCCGAGTCGGTGCGGGCAATAACGAGATTCTCGCAGCCCATAACGTCCCACTGGAAGCGGGCGGCGTTCAGGCGATTGATGTGCTCTCCAATGGGCACCAGGACCTTGCCCGCCAAGTGCCCGCACTTCTTCCCGCCGTGAAGCTGATCCTCAAAGTGCACCGCCGCAGCACCGTTCTCGGCAAACAGCTTGGCAAGCTTGAGGACGGCAGACAGGCCGCCGTGACCCGTATCGCCGTCGGCGATGATGGGCCGCAGGTAGTCAACGTATGGGGTCTTTGCGCGCTCCTCGGGCGTCAGCTTCCGGCGGGCGTCCCATTGTTTCCGGTCGTGCATTGATTGGGCTTTCGCGAGACGCTGGACCTGATTCGGGACAGTGTTGTAAGGATAATCGCCAAAATCCGGGGACACTTCGTTGGTGGAGGTAAGGAGGGAGGAGCAGGCCCAGCCCGAGATGTAGAGAACCTCTTGATGGGGTGCTTGCTGCGTCATTTGAACGGGGTCAATGGCGCCCACTGTAAGCAGCATGTCAGTTAGCATATGGTTGTTAACGGCGACGAGAGTTCAGGTGGGCCATCCGTACTTGTGTGAATCGGCTTCCCTTCAGCCCCCCTTTCCTTGACGAGATTGAAAAGCTTTCGCGCCATGACGGAACTGGGGTAGGCACAATGTTGCGAGCCGCGTTTAGACACGACATCGGCGGCGTTGTAAGGTCGTTTGATGCCGTAGTATCTGGACGACTGCCACCATGCCTCGACCTCTTTGATCTGTGCTTCGTATAGCTCGTCTTCGGCGACGCCAGCCTTTTTGGACTCAGGCAATAGTTGGAAGGCATCGCCTGAAGGGGAGCCAGAGGAGAATGGGTTTGCAGGGACCTGAGCCATTCTGGGTGTTGTTGAGACACGGCGCGCGAGGGTGGCCGGGGCCAATGGCGGTCTAGGGAGAGGAACTTTTCGGAAGACCGCACGCGCGGCAGCTCTTCTGTTCATGTTTCCTCGCGTGTGCAGCGGCTCTGGGCGTTAAGATAGAGAAATATCGACTTCTGAGAGATGACTGTGGATTTTCACATCATTTGTGGTGATGGGGAAAGTTGGAATGTCTAGGAAAAGAAATTAGAAATTAGTTCGTATCCCCGAGTGAACATACCTGGAACAGGCAAATCCGAGGCGGTGCTTTGCTACTCGGGGCAGGATATCCTACGTCCGGGATGCGTTGACTAGTCTTATATGTAGGTAACGTGGGAAACACGTCAGGCAACCATATGTGTATTGCAGTTCGGCGAGCGTCAGCCGGAGAAAGGGGACGATGAGCCTTGGTAAGAAGCGGCAAAGATGGGGTTGATGCCAGGCCGCACGTCCAAGAGGGTTAATCATTGGTCAATCCCCCGCAACCGCTCGTCCGTAGCACATTCGGCTTGCCTCGGCCCATCACTTTCCCCTCATTTTCCGCAGTACTAGCGACAGGGGTGCGAAGCACAGCAAAGGGCCAGTCACAGGGCTCAGATAGGTAGTCAGTCGATCCTGGAGCTCCGACCGCAGAGGGGCCGCCCATCAAACGTGGAGGAAAGCTGGGGTTCCCGTCCGGAACACCCCTCCGCCAACATGGGCACCTACCTGGAAAGGCTGCTGCTCACAGTGCCCGCCCAGAGGCGGACGGACTGCACAGGCGCTGGTTGACAACCCCTCAACTCGGGCCAAGTACCTAGGTAGGTAGGGCAAGGTCTGTTTGTCTCGGCCTACCTAGGTAGGTACCTAAGTAGGTAGGAACAGGTAGGCATAATAAAGCCTGTAGCAAACTACAAGCTTGGTCTCTTTCTCCTCCCTCTCTCTTCCGTCTCTATCCATACTCCTTCCCAAAACCTTCTCGCGTACGCAATATTCGCTCCATTGACCGGGAACCGTGCGATCAGTACTTGAGAACCTCGTTGGCGACATTTCTACAACCAAATTGATCTTGCTTATTGACGTCACTTGCCCAACTGCTAGCCCCTCCCTTAAGCTCCTCGGTCGACAAGTCATGATTTTGAACTTCGCCAGAAGCACGAGGGCTGTAGGAGCTCTGAGGGTACGTCGAGACTTGCGTTGAATATAATCTCTCCTAGAGAAAGCATTGAGACTGACTTGTGCCAGTCTCTAGCAGCTCGCTCTTCCTTCAATGCCCGCCAGTACTCTTCCTCGTCCGAGCCAGACCTCAAGACCACGCTCAAGAGTGTCATCCCAGCCAAGCGAGAACTCTTGAAGAAGGTCAAGGCACACTCCTCCAAGGTCATCGGCGAGGTCAAGATTGAGAATGCCATTGGTGGCATGCGTGGTCTTAAGGCCATGGTTTGGGAGGGTTCAGTCTTGGATGCCAACGAAGGTATTCGCTTCCACGGCAAGACAATCAAGGACTGCCAGAAGGAGCTGCCCAAGGGAAAGACGGGCACGGAAATGTTGCCGGAAGCTATGTTTTGGCTTCTGCTTACAGGCCAGGTCCCTTCCACGAACCAGGTTCGCCAGTTTTCCCGTGAGCTGGCTGAGCAAGCCCAACTGCCTCAGTTCGTCAACAAGCTGCTCGACGACTTTCCCAAAGACCTTCACCCAATGACCCAGTTTGCCATTGCCGTTTCTGCACTGAACTACACCTCCAAGTTTGCCAAGGCTTACGAGCAGGGTCTTAACAAGGCCGATTACTGGGAGCCTACCTTTGACGACTCTATCTCACTGTTGGCCAAGCTGCCCACCATTGCCGCTAAAATTTACCAGAACTCCTACCGGGGTGGTGGTCCTCTCCCGGCCGAGGCTGACATCGAACAGGATTGGTCCTACAATTTTGCTGCTATGCTTGGAAAGGGTGGCAAGGAGAATGAGAACTTCCAGGACCTTCTTAGACTCTACCTTGCTCTGCACGGCGACCACGAGGGAGGAAACGTCTCCGCTCACGCCACCCACTTGGTCGGAAGCGCACTGAGCGATCCCTTCCTCAGCTACAGTGCCGGGCTCCAGGGTCTGGCGGGGCCTCTCCACGGGTAGGATGATAAGCAGCAACCCGCGCGTCTTCGTGCGCTGACAAGATAATAGACTTGCTGCCCAGGAAGTGCTTCGATGGATCATTCAGATGAAGGACAACATCCCCGAGTCATACACTGATAAGGATGTGACAGACTATCTCTGGACTACGCTCAACTCGGGTAGAGTTGTGCCTGGGTACGGCCACGCCGTTCTACGCAAGCCCGATCCCCGTTTCGAAGCCCTGATGGACTACGCCGCCGCACGCCCGGAGATTGCCCAAGACCCTATCTTCCAACTCGTGCAGAAGAACAGCCGAATCGCTCCTGAGGTACTCAAGAAGCACGGCAAGACTAAGAACCCCTATCCCAATGTCGACTCCAGCTCCGGCGTTCTCTTCCATCACTACGGCTTCCACGAGACGCTGTACTACACCGCCACTTTTGGTGTCTCTCGTGGCTTGGGGCCCCTTGCTCAGCTCGTTTGGGACCGTGCCCTTGGCTTGCCCATCGAGCGACCCAAGAGCATCAACCTCGAAGGCCTCCTCAAGCAGGTTGAGAGCTCATAGATGGATTTTCAAGACACAGTGGATGGGGAAAATGCTAATCTAGCATCAAGTGCCATGTCGGAGTTTTAGATTTAGCCGGAGTTTCCCATGAAATACATTTATAAATAACTAAATCTACTTCAAAGACCTGCTCTTGCACTTTGGCCATCCATGAACATAGTGAATCACTCGATTGTTTGCGTTTATAGCCAGGATAGTGCCATAGCATCACCATATCCACGGTGACCCCCGTAAAACCTGATAGATGGGCCTCGTATTAGGCCTTGTAACCCAAGACAGCGTTCCCTCCGATGCCATTTAACTTGTGTTGCGTTGGGAAAACATTTAGGCGGGAAAGGCTGATCATTTGACCCTAAACTGTTATGCCTTTTGCCAACCACCGCTTGGCTTACTTCTAGTTTACACCAAGCGGTTGTTTGATTCTGTTTGTGGCTTGAGATACACTGAACTCTACATCAAATAGCTGGTATATGTATAATGTGTTAACCACTATCCAAGCGAACCACCTGACTATTCTCACATAAATTGGAGCGGGAAAGTAGACTGCGGCACTAGTGAGTAGGGTTTTTGATCATACGCGGAAATATGGCATGCTTTATCATTTGTTCCCAAAAAGAACATCATGTTTTAATAATTCATCTACTCGCGACTACTATATAGAACGTGTTCGACAAAATGATATACGCCCCCATGATGCTGAATATCCTGTTCAGTACTCCCATGAACAAATATGAATACCAGAAAAACTCACCACACATTCAAACGACAGCAGTAGACCAGGTTTACATTTCACAATCAAGTCCAGTCATCAGTATATGGGTTTTCATGTCCATTACTTGATTGTCATTTACCTCGCACGATCAATCTTTCTTCTTTCTTTGTTAATGTGGCCCCTTCTGGTATGGGTGACGCTCCAAAACCCAAGAAGATTTAGATCTTCAAGGCCAGCCTTTCGGGAAGAGACTGGCCCCAGGGTTCCGTTCCTACCAAATATCCTTCGAAGCCACGGTTATCACTTTTGACTTCGGTAAGTTTTAACCCTACATTAGATCTGTATTTTCTATATGCGAGAAATCAAAGAATTGTGCCCTGCACATGAGCCTGAAGTACCCAAGCGTTTTGAATATGCACTTGTGGGGAGCACGTACCACTGATATGTAAGTGGGCATCACTAGAACATTATACTCAACTTATTTATTTCCCCGGAAGGCTGGCGCCACTATTACCACTCAGATCTAAATCGGCAGATGTAGCATCTGGCCTAGTGGTCAGGTTTATATCAAAGTATGGTAAGCAGGTGGGCCGCAAAGGCATACTAAGAAGGAGTACCGTGGAAGCACTATGTATCAGCAATCAACAATCAATTATCAAAAGTTCTGAGACAAGTAACAGTTCCTTGTTCATTTTTATTTCCTTGTCATATTTCGAACATAGTTCAATCATAAGTATCACAGGCCGGCAACGACAGTATCCTCGGCCCCAATGCGGCTCACGAATTGTAACTTAAACATTATACTGGTGTCATAGTTCATAAAGTTTCAATATTCTCAGTGGGCCCTCTGTTCATAGCTTTTCTATTACAAAAGTGTCGTTTACTTGTGGGCTGCGTACAAAAATGTTCGCAAGTCATGGAACAGTCCGTGTATCAGCACGGGTTAATAGTCAATCATAAGTCAAACTCACATCAACCTTTATGTATAACTAGATATCGTGTACGCCTATGAAATACGGTGATATTGAAACTTTCGACAAAGCAGAAAATTCCCAAGTCAATGTAACAAGCTAAAGCGCCGTGACCAGAGGTGTCTATAACAAGAAGAAGGGTATGCTTTATTTATACTAAGTATCCTATGGTAAGCTGGTAACCATTGTCAGATGACTTAGCAAATTTCAAGCTTGATGTTCTTCGACGTAATCCACCAAGTCCCCAAAGGTCACCTGCTCGGTTGTTGATCTTAAATATCATTAGCGGCTGCCCTTACTCCCATTACCAGTCTTGTTAGACTTGACCTGGCGGCCGTTACGATCTCGTCATCATCTACATTAGGGAACTCTCGAAACAGTGCAATGTCCTCGAACCTCTCTGCCAAGTTTCCAACCCCCGCCACGTCCGGGTTTGTCATTGCAACATCAAGATAGACCACAACCGTAGCCTGTACATCTTCGTTGTCAATATTCACATCTGCCTCCTGATATGTTTCTGTGATGAACCGCAGCGTCTTTACATTTATGAAGAGAAGTAGTTGATTTTCCTAAGTCTAAGTACGAGAGAAATATTGCCAAGAAATACACTTCCTAATGTGGGTCTTATTGGTTGGAGGCGCCACTTCGTGGCGTCTCTAACTGGAACCAGCCACACGAAGCTGTCCCAGCTTCACGACAGTTTCAAAAGGTATTACGCGTCCTTGGGCATATCCTCGTGTCTCAAAGCCATTGTAAGCAGGCCCTTCGTGATTACTTCGGCAATACGATACGACTTTCGAAGGCCTTTATGGCCGTAGATACCGGCAAGAAAGTAAAAACGCTATTCGGGATCCTGAGTATCGCGCAGGACTTCATTGACCACATAGATTGGGGCGCTTTGCAAAAGTGTCACGATGCACTTATTCGATCACGGAAAGTCATAAGAAAAGGGCTTGACTACCTACGCTCTAGACTGCCGGGTCCGGGTCGTAGATATACGTGTCTCAATGGTGGATCCGGGCGGTGGATACCGGATTAATAGATGTTCCGGCTCCGGTCGGATCCCCACAAGGCTGCGTGATGTCGTGAAGGCATCGCGACAGAGTTGCAGCTATAGTAAACAACGAGGTGCTTGGGTTGGCTGACAGATGCGTTGAAAGCGGCGTCGGGGGAGGCTTAGGGCGCAGAAAAGGTCGTCAGCTGGGGACGCTCGTGTCCTGAAGAGCGAATGAAAGGCCTGAATATGTCAAGAAAAGCTACATGAAACCGTAAATTTGTGATCAAATCAGTCAAAAAGGGAGGGGGGAGGGGTGGGGGGTCATTTGAAGCTATGTAGAGTTATCCCTTTAGTTGCGAACGGATCCCACTAACCCCCGTGAGCGGTAGGGGCAAATCAGGCCACAACAATTAACGCCAAAAGCCAGTAGTTCTATGGTACTTCTATTTATATAGCATCTTGCCTATGCCATAGGTACCAACAATCTCTACCTAAAAGTACATCACAGTCTAAGTAGCCCTGCTAGGTCCTTCGTTAGGCTAGACTGTTGCGTATGATAAAGTTTTCTGGGCAGGCAGCAGCAAGGTCCCCCAGCAGGACCTCCACGTGAATAGTACTGTAAATAGAGGTATTTAAATCAGAAGACATCGTGATTTTAATAACAGTGATAGTGGTAATATTAAAATTAGTAGTGGTTGCTAACAAGATAACATTCTAAAACAATGTATCCGTATCGTTGGGTGTCTCCGAAAGTGAGGGACAAGAGTGGGGATGTATCCATCTAGGGGTTAGTGGGGTCCGTTCGCAACTAAAGGGATACTGGAAGAAAACCACGTAATGGAACCATCCTTAAGATCTGGTCAGAAGGTAGACATCCTATCCAGGCAAGAAGCTCGCGGTACTTACATTTAGCAAGGCTAAGTGAATCATGGTCAGGGAAGCGGTTTTGTCGATTCTTGTAACATTCCAGGATAACATCATGGATAATACACCAGAACTTGAATAATGCCGGGAACGTATGGCCCAAGTAGGAAGGTATGTTCTTTTTCGAAATATCATAACCGATGCTGTCCAGATAGCCAGAAATCATTCTGTACTCTGTTTCTACGGGCGCTGGATAGACGGGTGAATAGACAGTGTATTCGAGACCTGGTTGTTGATAAAACAGCGTAGTCATACTAACATGCATTAGCCAGATGTACGTGCTAGATTCTTCTATTAAAGAGTGAGGGATGGAGGGGACCGTTTTCATACTGGCTAGTTTAAAATGCCCCAGGCAGTGTATGGATTTGCTCGTTGTGTTTGTTCGTGGCCTGAGATGGCGCGACGCCGAATAAAACATGCTTGTGTCCATTCTAAGTGCAGTAGCAAAATATTTCAGCACGTAGTGGACATGCCATGGCTCAAATAAGCCAGACTCAATAGTTGGGCACTAGCGGCATTGAGTACAGTGACATTATCCCACTCTAGGAGCCAAAGCTTTTCTGCTTCTTGGTAGAATGTTTCGGTAAACTGAACTACTCTCTTGTTGATAGCAGTATGCATTTGCTATCGTTCGGTCATACTTATCAGTACAGTCCTTCTAATATGGCTGATCAGATAAGAATAATCTGGGCCCACATAGGCCCAACACATTGACGTATTGACGAGAAGCAGAGAGGGATGTGCGTGGCATCGACCAACGAGACCAGAAATAAAAGGATGAGGATTAAATACGCTTAAAAAGGGATTATAGGTGGTAGGATAGAGCCGAATGGCCCTTGCAGCATAGTCATGGAACATCGAGGTGTCAGTCCAGCAGTTGATTCTCAGGTCTTCGAGGCACTCGTCGCAGAGTAAAGGATCCGATTGCCTGCTTTCATCGAAAATCTCTTCCGAGGGAACGTCTACGCGAAGCCCATCGTTGGCTTGAAGAAGAACACTGGGCACTGACTTTATCGTAATGTCATTGTCAGGTATGAGTATCTTTTGTTGGCCATTCCATTCGTCCGATCGTGATCCGTTTAAGAGGTTAGCATGATCGCGCGATGTAGCGAGGAGGCTGGTATTCGGGATAGGACATACATACTGATAGTCAAAAGACTTCGATCGACGCAATTTCCTTGGCCCGAGAAGCTCGTCGTGTTCCAAAGTTGTTAGGAGAGCATGGCGAAGAGTAGGATGCGCGATAGGATTTCTGGCCATTAACTCAAATTCCAAAGGCGGCTGCATCGAGCGAATAGCGCAGGCTGCATCATTATTGGGAATCCGTTTGATTCCATTTTGGCCCTTCTTGATAATATTCAGAACAGAGTCAGGGTCGCCATTTGTCCGTAGGAGGCGCAAGATCTCAAAGGCCTGTGGCTCTGGAGCGGATCTCAATAGCTCAAGAACTTCATGAGAACCTCCGGATGACTGGCCGAGTCTGGGAGACTCCCTCTTTTCGACAAATGTACACTCGGTTGATCGTTTTCGGCACGCTGCGCAAATTGGGCGTATTCCATCACACTACGTCGGGGGCAAACTCTAGACGATCAGCAAATACAGCACTTTGGCGGAGAAATTGAGGAAAACAAGTGCATAAAAAGATTGTCCAATTGGACTCACGCGTGTTTTTCTACGCCGACATGGATTACAAGCAACATCTGTGCCAACCCGTTTTCTCTTTGAAGGATCTTCGCGGCGAGAGTCGAGAGGAAATCGATCACTACCGACTTCTGCTGGCAGCAGCGGAGCCAGCCTCTTCGGCATCGTCGTAAGATGCAGCTGCCCTAGATTTCGATCAACAAGGAAGATTAAGATGGCAACATACTAGCAGGCTATTCTAGGTCATTGGGGTGGAAGAAATGGCGAGGGGGGGAAATGCGAAATGGGCAGTTCTTGTGCTTAGAAGCAGACTGATCTCCGTAACGATGTTGATTGGTTCGGCTCTACATCCGCTCACGTGACTGTTAGTCCATCGGCCGTTCCATGGTCATGGCGAAAACAGTTCTTCTCAAGACGTAGGCTTCTCCAATTAGACAGCTGGAAGCAATTAAGATCTCGATCTGCTGCGTAATGCCCCAGCTTGCTACAAGGATATAGATTGCTTTTTCTGTATAGATATTCTACTAGTTTACAATTCCAAGAAACAGAAAGAGATA